ACAACAACATCAATGTACTTAATACCACCTTAACACTTAAAAAATGGTAAAGATCAATTTCATGTTACATATATTCTACCAATATTTTAAAAAATCTTACTTGTATCTTTTAAAAACCAAAGACAACAAATTTAAAAAATGGGTAAGAGAACAGCACACTACAGGGACACAGCCACACCAATGTTTATAGCAGCACAATTCATAATAGCTAAACTGTGGAACCAACCTAGATGCCCTTCAGTAGATAAATGGATAAAGAAAATGTGATACACACACACACACACACACACACAGGAATATTATTCAGCATTAAAAGAGAATAAAATCATGGCATTTGCAGGTAAATGGATAGACTGGAGAATAAAATACTAAGTGAAGTCAGCCAATCCCCAAAAAACCAAATGCCGAATGCTTTCTCTGATTTAAGGATGCTGATTCATAATGTGGTGGTGGGGTGGCGGGCAATGGAGGATTAGATGAACTCTAGATAGGGCAAAGGGGGAAAAGGGAGGAGACATGGGGGTTAGGAAAGACGATGGAATGAGATGGACATCATTACCCTAAGTACATGTATGAAGACACAAATGGTGTGACTCTATTTTGTGTAGAGAGATATGAAAAATTATGCTCTATAGGTGAATTATGAATTGTAATATATTCTGCTGTTATATATAACAAGTTAAAATTTTTAAAAATGAAAAAAATGGGTAAGAGATTTGAATAGACTTTTCTCCTAAGATGAGACAAACAGTCAATAATCAAATGAAAAGATGGTCAACACCAATCATTAGGGAAATACAAATCAAAATCACAAGATACTGTATCATAGTCAGTAGGATGGACAAAAGAAACAATATAGAAAATAACAATGTGGACAAGGAAGAAAAAATTTGGAACTCTCATACATTGCTGGTGGGATTGCAAAAATGGTATAGCCACTTTGGGAAACAGATGAGTAGTCCCTCAAAATGTTAAAACACAGTTAACATATGACTTAGCAATTTCATTACTAGGTATGCAACCAAGAGAAATGAAAATATACAATTAGATAAAAACTTGTACATGAATGTCCACAGCAGCATTATTCAGAATAATCAAAACGTAGAAACAATCCATCAATGGATAAACAAAATGTGGTATACCTACACAATGGAATATTATTCAGCCGTAAAAAGAACAAAGTAATGATATATATTACAACATGGATAAATTTGAAAACATTAAGCTACATACAAAAAGTCAGTCACAAAAGGCCACATATTGTATTATTTCATCTTTATCAAGTGTCCAGAATTGGAAAATCTTCAGAAACAGAAACTACATTAGTGGTTGCCAGGACATGTACAGAGCAGGGGATGAGAAATGACTTCTAATAGGATAGAATTTCTTTATTTTTTTTTTTAGGTGTAGTTGGACATAATGCCTTTATTTTATTTATTTATTTTTATGTGGTGCTGAGGATCGAACTCAGGGCCTCGCACATGCTAGGTGAGTGCTCTACCGCTGAGCAACAATCCCAGCCCCAGGATAGGATTTCTTTTGGAAGGGATGCAAATGTTTTGAAATTAGATAGTAGTGATGTTTGTACAACCTTGAGTAGACTAAAACTCACAAAATTATATCATTTAAAGTGATGAATTCTCTAGGGCTGGGAATATAGCTCAGTTGGTAGAGGGCTTGCTTTGCATACACAAGGCCCTGGGTTCAATCCCCAGCACCACCAAAAAAAAAAAAAAAAAGAAAAGAAAGAAAGAAAGAAAAAAAAAAGGAGATGAATTCTCTAGTATGTGAATTGTAAGTAATAAAGCTTTTTTTTTTTAATTTAAAAATGCATCCTTTGCCATGAAATAACTGCCATGTTTATTTGGCAGTGAACTGGATATCCAGGACCAAACTTTGAGGTGAGGGGAATTCACCTTAATACTTGAAAACATACCCCTCTGAACATATTGGATACCAGTTCTCCAAAGTAACAGCAATACAGACATTGCATAAAGAAGTCAATTCTATTCCATGATTTAAAAAAGAAATAAGAATAGAGAAATAAATTGGCAACAGATCAAGGATCAAGAGTAAAAAGCTGACCTGATTTCTACGCCTATACCCCCAAATATCTACTTCTGTACTTTAGAAGAAATCATTTTTAGCTTCCATTCCCATAGGATAACATATGGAAAATATGTATAGCACATACTGGTAAAACTTCCTCATTTAACAGCTTCTGAGTATTCCACCACATGGATGTAGATAATTTGTTAATGATCCTCTATTAGTGGACTATTAAAAGTTATTATTTTTCTGGTGCAATTGTGAGGCTGAGGCAGGAGGATCGCAAGTTCAAAGACAGCCTTAGCAAAAGCAAGGCATTAAGCAACTCAGTGAGACCCTGTCTCTAAATAAAATGCAAAATAGGGCTGGGGATGTGGCTCAGTAGTCCAATATCCCTAAGTTCAATCCCTGGTACTGCCCCCAAAAAATAAAAACTAAAAATAGAATAAACAAACAATGTAGATAAGCTGTTTTTTTTACTTGTGCAAATGTACCATGGGATTAATATCTTAAAACTGGGAAGTCTAAGATATATTTATTTCACATTTTGATAGATATTGCCAACTTGCCTTCCCAAAATATTCAATTAAATGACTACGAGTTTTCCTTTTCCAATAGAAAGCATCAAACTTTTTGATTTCTGAAAATCTGATAGATGACAAATGGTTCTTCACTATAGTGCTAATTAGCAATTTACTAAATTTAAGTGATGACATATTTTAGTTAACTGTTGATGTCACTTATATTTTTTTCAAATGAATCGTCATATCATGTTTTTACCCATTTTATGTTGGATTTACTAGTCTTATTAATTGAATAACTACACATATACATGTGTGTGTGTGTGTGTGTGTATATATATATATATATATATATATATATAAATTTGCCCTGTGCTCTCATATGTATTACAAATATTTCTTTCAGTTTTTCTTTTAATTTAATCTATACTATTTTTTTTCTCTGCAAAAATTCTAAAAAAATATATATATATATTTTTTGTTTTTGAGGTAATAGAGATTAAACCCAGGGGTGCCTCTACCACTGAGCTTCATCTGCAGCCCCCCTTTTTTAAAAATTTTTTAATTTGTTTTAATTAGTTACACATGATAGTACAATGATCTTGACAAATCATACATTTGAATCAGATCCCCTTTTTTAAATATTTAGTTTTTAGGTGTAATTAGACACAATGCCTTTATTTTATTTATTTAATTTTATGTGGTGCTGAGGATCGAACCCAGGGCCTCGCATGTGCTAGGTGAGAGATCTACTGCTGAGCTACAACCCCAGCCCCATCTGCAGCCCTTTTTATTTCTTATTTTGAGACAAGGTCTTGCTAAGATACTGAGGCTCACCTTGAACTTGCAATCCTCCTGTCTCTGCCTTCTGAGTTGCTGAGGCTATAGATAGGAGTAACTGCACTCAGCAAAAATCCTAAATTTTTGTGTTGCAAAAATACACTAATTTTGGGCTGAGGCTCTACTCAGTGGTAGAGCGCTTGCCTAGCATGTGTGAGACACTGGATTCAATTCTCAGCACCACATATAAATAAATGAATAAAATAAAGGTCCATGCATCTAAAAAAAAAAAATACACTAATTTTTTTAATGGCTTCTGTGTTTTTGTCATGTTTTAAAAAGTCATCTCTATACAATTTTTAGAAATAAATATAAAGTATTATTATCAGTTCATAAGTGTATATGTAAAATTTATTTAGGATAAAATTTAAGAGCTTCTCCAAGGATGGGGGTGTATCTCAGTGGTAGAGAGTCTATTCAGCAAGCACCAGGTCCTGGGTTTGATCCCTAGCACTGCAAAAATTTAAAAAAAAAAAAAAAAAAAAAGCTTCTCCAACCCAAATAATTGAAGAGAATCAGAAAAGCTATTGTTTTCTCCACCAAAATCCAACAGAGTACTCATTCAAACAACTGACATTTAAAACCCAAGAAAATTCCCAATAGATTGGGCTGGGGATGTGGCTCAAGCGGTAGCGCGCTCGCCTGTCATGCGTGCGGCCCGGGTTCGATCCTCAGCACCACATACAAACAAAGATGTTGTGTCCACCGAGAACTAAAAAAATAAATAAATATTAAAAAAAAAAAAAAATTCCCAATAGATTAAAAGAGCCAGATCACTAAAACAGTTCCTTCTCAAGATTACACGGCTTCATAGTTGCTATACTTAACCATTCCTTAGTGATTTTTTCCAAATAAAATGTGAAATACTCAACTTGAGATTTCTAGAACATGCCCACTGTACTATTCAATTACTCTCTCCCTTAATGAACTCATCAATAAATAACCAGTTAAGGGCTGGGGATGTGGCTCAAGCCGTAGCGCGCTCGCCTGGCATGCGTGCGGCCCGGGGTCGATCCTCAGCACCACATACAAACAAAGATGTTGTGTCCGCCGAGAACTAAAATAAATAAATATTAAAATTCTCTCCCCTCCCTCCCCCTCCCCCTCCCTCTCTCTCTCACATCTCTCTCTTTAAAAAAAAAAAAAATAACCAGTTAAGTTAGTGTGAATGTCATAGATACTAATGAGAGATGCAAAAAACTTAATATGAGAGATTCTACCAAGAAGAGCTCCTTTTAGATATCATGAATAAAATAATATAATAATTACAATAATACAATAATACATAATTCACAGAACACAAAGTAAATTTAAACATTTTTTTAAAACTTTTTAAAGTGCTGGGGATGTGGCTCAAGTGGTAGCACGCTCGCCTGGCATGCGTGCAGCCCAGGTTTGATCCTCAGCACCACATACACACAAAGATGTTGTGTCCGCCGAAAACTAAAAAATAAATATTAAAAAAATTCTCTCTCTCTCCCTCACTCTTTAAAAAAAAAAAAAGAAGATTTTTAAAGCTTTTTCCCCTAAGAAAATAATGGCAGAGAAAAATGTGATCCATTTGTAACTAAATGAACAAAGTCAACTTACCATGTGTGGAGCACTGATTGTTGCTTGGAAACCTGCAAAACAAGAAGAGAACCACTGATACATTCAGTTGTGAAAACATAACCAAATATTTCGTGTAGTTCCTTTTCTAACATCCATACGTTGCTTTTCACAAAAATTCTTTTTTATTTTTAGAATAAGCAAAACAAAACCCAACATTTGTACTGATACATAGCAGTTAAAATCAGAAAATATTATCATGAGAAAAGGCTCATCTAGCAAAAGAGATCACACTATTTCTAAAAGTATTTCTTTTTTAAAAAAAAATTTTTTTTAGATGAGTAGACCTTTATTTTATTCATTTACTTATACATGGTGCTGATAATCGAACCCAGTGCCTCACACATACTAGGCAAGCACTCTACCACTGAGCCACAGCCACAGCCCCTCTAAAAGTTATTTCTAAAAATTATTTCTTTTGTAGGTTTTTTTTTTTGGGGGGGTTGTTGTTTGTTTGTTGTTTCTTTTCTTTTTGGTACAGGGGATTGAACCCAGTCACATCCCCAGCCCTTTTTATTTTGAGACAGGGTCTTGCTTAGTTGCTTAGGGCCTCAGTAAGTTGCTGAGACTGTCCTTGAATTTGAGATCCTCCTACCTCAGATTCCTGGGCCACTGGGATTACAAGTATGCACCACAGTGCCCAGCTTCTTGTATTGTTTTTTCAGTAAGCTGAGAATTGATAGATTTTATACTTAATTTTTCCTTTAGATTTACTTTTTTGGTGTGGGGGGTACTGGAGATTGAACTCAGGGGCTCTCGGCTACTGAGCCACAGCCTTATTTTATACTTTATTTAGAGACAGGGTCTCACTGAGTTGTTTAGTGCCTTGCTTTTGCTGAGGCTGGCTTTGAACTTGCGATCCTCCTGCCTCAACTCACAAGAACCTGGGATTATAGGCATGTTCCACTGTGCCCCCAGCTAAATTTACCCTTTTTTAAAAAAGGACTTCTATATATAATACATATGCAAAAAAAAATTGAAAAACTAAATTATTTCAAATTTAAAACAACTTAAAAATAACTAGGCTAGGGATAAAGCGTAGTGGTAAAGCTCCTGCCTAGTAGGCACAAGGCTCTGGGTCTGATCCCCAGCACTGCAAACAAACAAACAAAAAAACCCTAGATAATCAAAGTAGCTTAAGAGACTAATAAACCATTCCAATTTACTTTCTGTATTATCACCTAATGTTAATTCATATTCATTTTTGGCTCTTAGTTTCTTTTCTTCCAGTGTTACTTTCTCAAAACTTATTTACCTGCTCTGCCTCTGAAGCAATTTTCACTGAGCGGTGGTAGCAGGTGCCTTCGGGGTTCAGAAGCTCCCCAGGATCTTCTTGCTGACTGTCACAGTGCTTCAAAAGAAGACAGAATGGCAGCTGGCCGAGAGAATCCTGAGGCACTTCTAAGCCTCAAAGGCGCCCACTGCCAAGGCTCAGCAGTTCAGCAAAACCTGCTTCAGGAGAAGGAGTTAAATATGGAACTTTCTAAAAACAAACACAAGCCAAAATATCCGGGAAAGTAAAGCAGAAAAGTCACTAATAAATTAATTACACTTATTTTCTTAATTATTGATTTTAAAAATTAAGGCTAACATGAAAGAAAACTCAACATTAATGCCCCTGGAGAAAACAGTACTCAGCTACAACTAAATTTTCATTAAAAGTTTTCTTTTTCATTAAAAAATTCTAAATATTTTTTCATTCTTTATTACCAATATACATTGGGGGAAAAACCAGAAAAAGATATATCATTTCATTAAAATGGATTTGAGATTATGAGAGTTACCGAGTCATAAAACTCAAATTGGCAATATGATTATAAATACATGTGTCCCAGTCTTACAAAAATTAGAGTAAAAGAAGGAAAATGTGACATTTTCGGGAATCTAAAGCTTACCTATTGATTGTGGAGAATCCATATATGGGTTACATTTTGCATAGTGCGAGCGGTCTGTAGCCAGCATTACTTCAAATACTTTATCTGTCTTGATGATTCCATTTTCTGAAATGAATAGGGCAAATATTTTAAGCAAAGAGTGACATCATATATATTTCAGATTTATTACTCTGGCTGTACTGTAGGACTGGACTGGACTAGAGTAACCTGGTCTTTAATAACACTAGTCAGGATGGGGAAAAGTAGAAGGTGGTGGTGAGAGTAGGGATAATGGTAGAGATAAAGTCATCCAATGATTTAAGAAACTCTGAAGAAGGATCAGAGATGAGGAGAAAAAGGAAAAGATAGGAAAATAATTCAGTTAGGGGCTAAGGTTATACAAAGTGAAAGTATTCAGCAACGGGCTGGGCACATGGATCTGGAGCTCAGAAAAGAGATCTAGGATAGAGGTATAAGTTTCTGTTTAGATAGATGGCAACTGAAGTAATGAAAGTGAAGTTAAAGTAGCCAGGGAAGAATACATACAGAAGAAAAATGAAAGCCAACATTTGAGATATGAAAGCAAATGGAAAGGAACCACAACAGAGGTAGGATAAAAACCTGGCTGATATTGCTGTAGAGTCCAAAAGCAGTGAAATTTTCAAGAATATTTTATATATATATCTCATCTGGCTTCCCCAACATTTAGTTCTTTGAGATTTAATAAATGTTAAACTTCAATAATCCTCATGGTACCATGCAAATAACTAATGCTCTCATTGACTTTTTCAATATGCTAGCTGACAATGACATATCAGACACAACACAACATGCTTATAGTATGATTATAATAAATAAGATAGCCTACTTCCTGTCATCACAGATTTAAAATCTGTTAAGAATAAACAAAAATGGGCTGGGGATGTGGCTCAAGTGGTAGCACGCTTGTCTGGCATGCGTGCGGCCCGGGTTCAATCCTCAGCACCACATACCAACAAAGATGTTGTGTCTGCCAATAATTAAAAAAATAAATAAATAAATAAATATGTTTAAAAAAAAAAAAATAAATAAATAAAAAAAAAAAGAATAAACAAATGAACATGACTTTAACAATTCAAAAATGAATGAAAAAGTCAATCAAAACATGCTTTGATTAGTTTTGACTACAATATGAATGACCATTTTATATGAGACTACTTCAGAAAAGTATCATGGAAAGTCTAAAATGCTATACAAACTAACACAACTTATTCATCAATTACGGCACTTTCAATCTCGAAGGTAATAGCAGCCACCAGAATCTGAACTTCTCCACAGAGTTGCTCAAAATACCGAAACATAGATTAAGAAGGGGCTCAAACAAAACCACACAGGATCTACACCATCACATTACTAAGAGACAGAATATCCAGACTTTAAATTATCTATAAATAGAAAAAAAAAAGTGCTCTTGCTACAGTTGAACACCTGTGATCACAGAAAGCAAAAATGGGGATTCAAGTTTAAGTTTCTAAGAGCCTGTTACAGAGACACACTCCTACAACTCTAGCTACTCTGGAGGCTGAGATAGAAGGATCACAAATGTGAAGCCAGGCTTGGTAACTCAGTGAGTCTCAGGATGGGGATGTACTCAGTGAAGCATCCCTAGGTTCAGGTGCAATCACCAGTAATGGGATGGGGGGAAGTGGATCAGGAGCTAGGGTTGTGGTTCAGTGGCAAAGCATTTGCCTAGAGTATGTGAGGCACTAGGTTTGATTCTCAGCATTGCATATAAATAGAATACAGGTTAATAAATAAATAAATTTTTAAAGAAGATTATTGTGTTAAAAAAGTCAGTGGGTCAACAAAGGGTGTCAAAACTCAATAATAAATAATCTTTTTCAACAAATAGTGCTGGGACAAACGAAGAGCCACATGCAAAAAAATGATGTTCAACTTTTTCCTCATACCATATACAAAAATTAATTAAAAATTTATTGAAGACCTAAATATAAGACCTAAACCCATAACACTCATAGAAGAAAATACTGGAGTAAATCTTCACAAACTTAGATTTGGCAATGAATTTTTACATATGGCAACAAAAGCATCAAAATTAAAAATTTGTACTTCAACAGATACCACTCAAGAAAGCAAAAGATCTGCATGCCTGTTATCTCAGCAACTCAGGAGGCTAAGGCAGGAGGTTGCAGGTTCGAGGTCAACATCAGCAACTTAGCAAGGCCCTAAGCACTTAGGAACACACTGTCTCAAAATTAAAAAGAATATAATAAAAACAAAGGACTGGAGATGTATCTCAGTGGTAAAGCACCCCTGGATTCAAACCCCAGTACCAAAAAATTAAAAACAAAGAAAGCAAGCAAGTGAAAAGATCACTCATATAGTGGGAAAAAATATTTGTGACTCATATATTTAAGAGGGTGCTTACAGCTAGAACATGTAAGAAACTCTTACAATACAATATTAAAAGACAAATAACCCAAATTAAGAAATATGCAAAGGATCTAACCAGATATTTCTCTGAAGAAGAAATGCAAAAAGCCAATATGCACATGAAAGCTAGACATCATTAGTGAAAAGAAAATGCAAGTTAAAACCACAATGAGATATCATTTCATATTTGCTAGGATAGCTATAATAAACAGTCAGATAATACACCAGAAGTGGTGGTAGGAACCTATAGTCCTAGGACTACTTTAGCCCAGGAGTTCAAGGCCAATCTGGACAATATAAGAAGACCCTGTCTCTTAAATAAAATAAAATGTGTTGGCAAGAATGTGAAGAAACTGGAACCCTCATGCACTTCTAGTAGGAATATAAAATGGAGCAGTAACTTTGGAAAAACAGCTTCTCAAATTGCTAAAGACAGTCACCATATGACTCAATAGTTCCACTCCTAGACATACAGAGAAGTGAAAACATATGACCACATGTAAATTTGTACATGAATGGTCCCGGCAACATTATGTAGAAAAAACAAAGCAAGAGGTGAACTGGGGATGTACCTTACTGTAAAGTGCTGGCCTAGCATGCATGAGCGCATGAGTTCAATCCTCAGAACCACAAAAAAGAGAATAAGCAGAAGGTGGAAATATTCATCAAAAGATGAATGGCCTCTGGTAAAGGTTGCATAAACTAAGTTCTAAGGATTATAAATTCAAAGCCAGACTGGGCAACTTAGAGAGGCCTTATCACAAAATAAAAAGGGCTGGAGATATAGCTAAGTAGTAGAGTGCCCCAGGCTCAATCCCAACTACTTAAAAAAAAAGGTTAATTTATGCTACAACATGGTAAACTTTGAAAAAGATTACGCTAAGTGAAATAAGTCAGTTATAAAAGAACATATATGATTCCATTTAATGAAATGTCTACAATCAGCAAATTCATAGAGATCAAAAACATCTGTACATGGTGGTTCATACCTATAATACCAGCTACTCAAGAGGCTAAGGCAAGAGGATCATAAGTACCAGGCCAGTCTGAGCAATTCAGTGAGACCCTGTCTTGATTTTTTATGAGGGTGTAGCTCAGTGGAAAAATGCTTGCCTACTATGTGCAAGGCCCTGGGTTTAATCCCCAGTACTAAGGAAAGGAAAAAAAAAAAGTAACTATTAAGTTTCTTAAGAGCAATGAGCATTTTCAAGCAATTTCAGGAAATAAAGCACAAGTCAACAATTAAAAAAAAAAAAGCCAGATGCAGTGGCACATGCCTGTATTCCCAGATGCTTGGGAGGCTGAAGTAGGAGGATCCCAAGTTCAAAACTAGCCTCAGCAATTCAGTGAGGCCCTAAGCAACACAGTGAGACCCTGTCTCTAAATAAATACAAAAATGGGATGGGCATGTGATTCATTGATTGTCTCTGGGTTCAATCCCCAGTATCAAAAAATAAAATAAAAATTGATAAAATTCAGTCTGATTAAATCTTTTTTTTTTTTTTTTGGTACTGGGGATGATGATGATGATTGATGATAATGATGGAGGAGGAGGAGCTTTATTGGGCCATCACTGTGTGTTTTCCAAAATTTCATCACAAGGTTGTTTTTATATATTTTTTAACCCATGACCCCATGTTTTGAAAGATGCCTAAATCAAAGAAGATTACATTTACTAAGTTTTTAAATCATTTTCCTGTTTTGGGTCATCTATGATATATATAACTATTATTCCCTCAAATGTTTCTATCAAACAATAAAGTAATTTGATGTTTTACTTTGCATGTATAGCCAAATTAGAGGTAAATGTGCAATATCATTAGGCTTTCAGAAACAGTGACAGCTTGAGAACCACCCATTTGCAATCTGCTTGCAGCCCTAGGTTCTGAGGACCCTAATTAAATTGTTATAGTAATGGATAATGGTCCAAATATACAACTGATATAAATGAGTAGTAGGATTTTAAAAGGCACATATAACAGAATCCAAACCATAAACCAAATAATTAAATGTCTGAAAAAAAACAGTGTGTTTCTAAGGTTTCTCTATCCAACTTGAGAGGCAGTTGGACTTGGTGGTGCATGCCTGTTATCTCAGTGGATAAGCCAAATTTCAGGGGGAAAAAATTAGAAAACTAAAACATGGCAGGGTCTCAAGCAACTGATAAAGTGTTTTAAAAAAAGGAAAAGCTTTTGACTTTCCTCTTCAATAGCAGAGATATATGTGACATGAGACACAAAGAATGTGGGCTCCACTAGATTTCCTGTGTAAAGGATTATGCTATCTGCAAATAGAAGGGCAGTTTACTTCAACCTGTAAGATTACAAGCTCAGCAGTGTTAACAGTCATAAATATTAACAATGGTTACTGCTTCTCAACTTTTTAAAATTAACAAAGTGCAGAATATTTATTTACTGCTCAGAATAAAATATAAATACTATCAACTTTTGTAAAAGAATTGCTAGTGAACTGGAAAATGAGAGAGGGAGTTCCCTACTACCCTTAAAAAGTAGAAGGGTTAAGATTAAGAGTTAATGCCTGTTCATACATTATGGAACAAGAAACAAAAGTATATAACTCAAGAGTTACACAAGTAGGGCTTAGGATGCTCAGTGGTAGAGTACTTGCAAGCATGCCTAAGACCCTGGGATCAATTTCCAGAAGAAAAAACAAATTCCAAACATAGACACAAG